GTTACTGGAGTTGGGAGTAGTAAGTGGCAGATTGTTACAATCCCATTCGGTGTGGTCTTTACCATTCCAAAAAATATTATTTGTAGTCCCCCACCACAAAAAAGTTGCCCCCTTTGGTCTATATAGATCTCCAGAGGTAATCTCATACTCACTCTCCCCAGTATTTCTGATGTCCTGGTTTCCAAAGATCCATCTAATAGTTGGTGGTGGGATCCCTTTGGCCAGGCAGCTGAATTCTACATTTTGGCCCTCATGAACTTCCTTCACAAGATCCATTGTGTTCTCAAACGTAGGCTTCTCTACAGATCAAAACCAGAGATTAAAAAACAAAAAGCAGTGAAAGAATTACTAGGGGTGATCTACCTCAATAGGGTGCTTCATCTTAAGGAAGTCCATCCTACTGCAATGCAGCAGAGGACCTAGAAGCAGCATATTAATTCCCCTCAATACTGCAAATCACCAAAGATGCCTGATAAAGAGTTGAGGTGAGGTCTATCTGTCCCCACTGACTGAGTCAAGTAGTCTATGAGAAACAAAATATCTTCAAAGTCGCACTTTAGTTGGATCTTGGAAGAAGCAAAGTGATCCTTTTGAGATCTGCACAGCCCTACCAATTGTGCTCACCACTGCACCATGACTTTAAAGCGGGAAATTCATTTATGGGGCAGCAGCAGGAACATTACCTTTTGTAATGTGACCCAAACAAAAACTACTTCTGGGCAATTAGAAGTGTGATGCAATTTGGCTAAAATTGAGGGGAACATACAAAGCTGATTCAGCCTTATTCAGTTTTACCTGTACTCAGAGAAGCATTCCTTTTAATTTCCACACCATTCTGATTTTTAAAAAAATGCAAGAAAAAGTGGATTAATTTCCAGGTACAACTTTCTCCAACAAATATGTTTGGGGACACATAACCTGCTTTCTCTAATAGTCTACATATGTGTGCCTATAACATTCCCTAAAAGATGCATTTTTAACACAGCTTTGGAGACAAGACTGCTTTCTTTCTTTTTCTTTCTTTCTTTCTTTCTTTCTTTCTTTCTTTCTTTCTTTCTTTCTTTCTTTCTTTCTTTCTTGCCTTCCAGTCAGTCTCGACCTCTGGCACCTGGACAGGTCCCTGCAGTGTTCTTGGCAAAATTTTCAGAAGGGGTTTACCACTGCCTTTTTTCTGGACCTGGGAGAGAGTGACTGGCCCAAAGTCAACCAGCTGGCTTCATGCCTAAAGCAAGACCAGAACTCATGGTCTCCTGGTTTCTAGTCCAGTGCCTTTAAGCACTACCCCACATTGGCTCTCACACCACAAATCAATCCAATTATAAGGATCACATAAAATATTCTATAGCATCAAACAGCTGATCCACTCAGTGCAGTATAGTCTATTGACTGTGACTGGGAGTGACTACGCAAGTGGCTATTTACATTTTTCAATTCTTTGATCAAAAACGTAATATGTCTTCACCATATGCTCCAGTAGATTTAACTCAATTCTTCCCCAATCTGAGACCTTCTAGGTGTGTTGAGTTTGAAATTTCTCATGGGTCGTGAGCTCGCTGGGCTAAAAGTTCAGGAAATGACAGTCCAAGTAATCATTTTGCCTCCCTGTGGAATTCTGGAAGCAGTCATTTGCAGGAACAGCAGAAGACTAGTACTACAGAATTTCACCAAACTGCAGTTCCCAAGATGAAACAATGATCATTAAACCACTATGAACCCAGAGCCTATTTTGAGAAAGAGTGTTCCTTTATGTTCTGTGACACCTAGACTTCAATAAATGTTCAAAGACTGAGTGAGTCTCTTTTCTGAACAGTGAGGATGAAAGCATGGAAGGAAACAAGAAACTATAAACTTCCTTGCATAGATAAGAAACCATTAAATAGGCTTTCTTTCTTACTAGGAAACTCATGTAATTACCTAGGTAATTCTGTAAAAAGCTAAATGTAGAATTTTCAGACATCTAGGAAACTGCCTTATAGTAGATACAATATTACTCCATGTACAACCATATTACATACCACCAAAATGGGCGAGTTGTAAGTGGTATTCACCAAGGGGTTCAAAAAAGTCAAGATGGTGACTTCAGTCATGTGATTACAGCAGCCATCTTGATGTTTTCAACCCTGCCCCCCCCACCCCCCATGGATGCCGTGGTGTTCACACAACACCTGAACCAGATCAATTTATTTCATTTCATTTCATTACTGTTACAAGACCAGTAATACCAAAGATGTACACATTCAATCCTTTGTTTGCTGCTTGATATACTGTCCGACTCCGACAATTCTTAAAAGCAGAGAAATGAAGTAAAAGGAACAAACATTAGAACTGAACTCAAAACGAAGAAGAATGTGCTTGGACAGCTCCCTGACTACATTTAGCACTGAGCAATCCGTAACCTTTGAAAGTAACAAATTTTTCTATAGGCTAACATAGAAAATACATCAAAGTTGACAGCCAATGCCTGGAGTTTAGCTAGGAAGAGGACACCACACCACAATTGCTGCAGGAACAGCAATATAGAAAGAGGTGGGCTAAAAATTCTCCTGGATCGAACCTGCAAGGGCTGGTGTGGTCTTTCCTTGGTATGCTCTGGAAATGCCTCAAAATAAATATGCTCTTAATAATTTCTGGGGCTCCAGAGAAGTTAAGACACAGGGTGTCCATAGGTCAGGCAGATTTTTAAAGCACAAATAATGAACGATGCTACATCCTGAATCTGTTCTTTTATTGTCTTTTTAGCTTTGCTCTGTCCAGTTTTTTGTCCACTGTCCCATTTTGGGCCTCACCTACATGTAAATGCTAATCATTTTGGGTTTCATTCTGCAGAGGGACTCTGCATTCCACTGAGACCTCTTCCTTGATGCTCAAATAAATATTTACTTACGGATCACGTGGATTACAATTTGATCAGTAGCAGTTTTTCCAGAGTCAAATGCTCCATGGCACTTGAAGATCCCACCCTGGTCTGGGCGAGAGAGGGTCATCACCAGCCCCTTGGACAATTCATCAATCGGCTTCACCCAGTAAGGTTTTGAATTCTCCTCAATTTCATTCTGTTCTGGATTAATCCAAGTCAAAGTGGCTTCTCCTCCTCCTCTCACTGCCGAGTGGGAAAGTTTAAAAAGACACAGTTAATGTGGCATGGTAGGTTGAGTTCATATGGCTTCGTTTCACTTCAAGAAGGTACTTGGCCTTCCCTCAAAGCTTTGGCCTGCAGGTCCAACAGCTGGAAGGGAAGAACCTCCAGCACATGTGGCACATGCAATGAAGCTTGTCCCAGTGCTTCCAAAAGCTACCTAGAAGATGCTTCTGCACATGGGCAGTGCATACAGCTAGTGAAGTCTTCAGAATAAAGGCAAAGAGATGGAATTCTTCCCCCTGAGAAGAAATTGCTCTCCAAAGCAGTTTCAAGAATTACTCCATTGGGATGATAAAAGGGAAAAGGGGGCATGAGGTCATAGCAGAGAGAAGGAGCCAGATGGATCCATTTGGGACTACGCAAAGCAGGACCCCTTTGCATCACAGAACTGCCTTGCCTGGAACACTTGCTTCAAGGTGGGGCTTCATGAGGAACAAGTGAGGCATTCTATTCCAACAGCTCAGACTGAAAGCTTCAAGGGGGACCATTACTTGGCTTTAAGGAAATGCCTTAAAAATGAGCAAAAAGATGATTCCACATGTCCACATGCCAGGAAGCAGGATAGTTTTTTGCTTTCTGGAGCTGCATCAAAGGGACACTTAGCTGAATCTCATTTGAAGCCAAGCATCCATGCAGGGCCACACACAGCCTTAATATTTATCAGATTAACCATTCAGTAAACTAAAAGTTCCCTTAAGTCAAACACAATTTCTATGAATTCATTGATGGATCCAAGTAGTTTTATTAGGACAATACAGAAGTTGTTTTCCCTTGCTTTCATTCAGGAAGATTTTTGATTTCCCAGTCTAGCCTACAGACCTAGGATTCTCTGGTGATCTCTCATCCAAGTACTAACAGGTCCAGCCCTGCTTAGCTTGTTTGAAATCACCCAAATTCACCTAGATGCATAAAGACCTCATGGAAACATCCATGTAGCTTAACAGGCAACATGGACTTAGTTTGCCATTGCCTTTTTCAGGATTTTTTTAAACTTCTCAGTCTACCTTACAACTCCTGGATCCCCATCCAAGAACTAACCAGGCCTGGTGCTATTTAGCTATTTGCCAACTCATTTTGGCAAAACTTTGTTATAAGGATGGGTGTTAAACCTATTGTTGAAAACATTATCTCTCTCAGAAAAAAAACAGTGTTTCTCAACCTCAGCAACTTTAAGATGTGTTGACTTCAATTCTCAGAATTCTCCAGCCAGTATGGCTGAGGTTGAAAAACACTGAACGAGAGTAATCCTAATGCAGTTCACCAACATGGTTGGAGACTCAGAGACTCAGATCCAGATTTTGTTGACCTGAGCTCTTACCGCCTTCAGTCCAGCTGACGATTCTGAGAGTTTTGTTTTGTTTTAATCTCGTTTATTTTCTATTTTATTTTTATTTATTTATTTATTTATTTAT